AAGTATCAGGAGAAAGGGTGCTAAACCTGAGTAGATAAAGATCAAAGTCAGTGGATAAACTGGTAAGGGAGGGAAGATACCATTCAGAAAGCTGTTAGCACCTTCAGTGATAAAGGGTCCACCACCCCATATCTTGATTAAGTCCATGAGTAACTGAATTGAATTTGCATATGTATTGTAATTCCAAGCTTTCCCTGTGTATTTGGCTTGAGCAGCTGGCCTGTGACAAGATTGCCACCTTCAGATCTGTGAGATTATGGTTAGGGAAACAGAAATGTTCTGCCACTGGCTTCTGAGTATTTTCCTTACATATATCCGATTTATGTCCACTGATTATTTCCCATAGAGAACGTCCAGTTTGACCAATATATAGTAGAGGGGCACTGTTGGCATTTCATGGCATAGATGAAATTACTAGATGAGCAGTCAAATGATCTTTTGATTTTATGGCTTGTGTTGTTTGCTCCAGTAATGAATTTGTCAGTGTAGATATGTGGGCATAGTTGGCATCTTTTCTGGTTGCAGGGACGGGTTCCTGGAGCTTATGATGTGGTTGTGTGGCATGGTTATCAGAAAGTATATGTTTCAGGTTAGGGGATTGTCTGTAAGCAAGGATAGGTTTTTCTCCCAAGGCATCTGAGAGTGAGGGATCATTTTCCAGGATGGGTTGTAGATTGTGTATGGTGCGTTGGAGGGGTCTGAGTTGTGGACTGTAAGTAACAACAAGAGGACTTCTTGGTACAAGTGCTATAGGAACTGACCAGGGGGCCAAGCGCAGCTTGATCTGCTGCTCACAAACAGGGAGGAACTAGTAGGGGAAGTAGAAATGGGTGACAACCTGGGAAGCAGCGTTCATGGGATGGTGGATTTCAGGATCCTGACCAAAGCAAGAAAGGAGAGTAGCAAAATACACACCCTAGACTTCAGAAAAGCAGACTTTGACTCCCTCACAGAACTGATGGGCAGGATTCCCTGGGATGCTTACATGAAGAGGAAAGGAGTCCAGGAGAGCTGGAGTATTTTAAAGAAGCCTTATTGAAGGCACAGGAAGAAACCATCCCAATGTTCAATAAGAAAAGCCAATATGGTAGGTGACCAGATTGGTTTACCGGGGATATCCATGGTGAGCTTAAACACAAAAAGGAAGCTTACAAAAAGTGGAAAATTGGACAGATGATTAGGGAGGAGTATAAATATATTACTCGAGAATGCACAGGAGTTATCAGGAAAGTAAAAGCACAATTGCAATTGCAGCTAGCAAGGGATGTGAAGGGTAACAAGAAAGGTTTCTACAGGTATGCTAGCAATAAGAGGGTGATCAGAGAGGGTGTGGGGCCCTTACTGGATGAAGGAGGTAACCTAGTGACAGATGTGGGGAAAGAAAAAGTTAGTAACTATTTAGAAAAGCTAGACATAAACAAACCCATGGGTCCAGATTTAATGCATCTGAGGGTACTGAGGGGGTTGGCAAATGTCATTGCAGAGCCTTTGGCCATTATCTTTCAAAACTCGTGGAGATCAGGAGAGATCCCGGATGATTGGAAAAAGACAAATGTAGTGCCCACCTTTAAAAAAAGGAAGAAGGGAAATCCAGGGAACTACAGACCTGTCAGCCTTACCTCAGTCCCCGGAAAAATCATGGATGGGATCCTCAAGGAATCCATTTTGAGGCACTTGGAAGAGGGAAAAGTTATCAGGAATAGTCAACATGGATTAATGAAAGGCAAGTCATGCCTGACCAATTTGATTAGCTTCTATGATGAGGTAGAATAGATGACTGTGGATATGTCAGTGTATGTGATATACCTTGACTTCAGCAAAGCTTTTGATACGGTCTCCCACAACATTCTTGACAGCAAGTTAAGGGAGTATGGATTGGATAAATGGACTGTAAGATGGATAAAATGCTGGCTAGACTGTCCAGCCCAACGGGTAGTGATCAACGGCTTGATGTCAGGTTGGTGGTCAGTTTTTAGTGGAGTACCACAAGCATGAGTTGTAGGGCCAGTTTTGTTCAAAATTTTTATTAATGAGCTGGATGAGGGGATGGATTGCACTCTCAGCAAGTCCGCGGATGACACTAAACTAGGGGTAGAGGTAGATACGTTGGGATGGCAGCGATAGGGTCCAGAGTGAACTAGACATTTTAGACGACTGGGCCAAAAGAAATCTGATGAGGTTCAACAAGGACAAGTGTAGAGTCCTGCACTTTGGAAGGAAGAATCCCAAGCAGTGTTACAGGCTGGGGACCGAATTGCTAAGCAGCAGTTCTGCACAAAAGGACCTGGAGGTTACACTGGATGAGAAGCCGGATATGAATCAACGCTGTGCCCTCGTAGCCAAGAAGGCTAATGGCATACTAGGGTGCATTAGAAGGAGCACTGCCAGCAGATCTAGAGAAGTGATTATTCTCCTTTATTTGGCTCTGGTGAGGCCATACCTGGAGTATTGTGTCCAGTTCTGGGCCCTCCACTATAGAAAGGACGTGGAGACATTGAAGAGGGTCCAGCGGAGAGTGACCACAATGATTAGGGGGCTGGAGCACATGACCTATGAGAAGAGGCTGAGGGATTTGTGTTTGTTTAGTCTGCAGAAGAGAAGAGTGAGGGGGGGATTTGATAGAAGCCTTCAATTTCTTGAGGGGAGGTTCCAAAGAGGATGGAGAGAGGCAGTTCTCAGTAATGACGGATGGCAGAACAAGGAGCAATGGTCTCAAGTTACAGTTGGAAAGGTCTAGGTTGGACATTAGGAAAAACTATTTCACTAGGACGGTGGTGAAGTACTGGAATGGGTTACCTAGGGAGGTAGTGGAATCTCCATCCCTGGAGGCTTTTATGTCTCGGCCTGACAGGGCACTGGCTGGGTTGATTTAGTTGGGATTGGTCCTGCCTTGGGCAGGTGGCTGGACTTGATGACCTCCTGAAGTCTCTTCCAGTTTTATGATTCTCTCCCGTGGATATAAAGCAGATATCCAGGGATTTGCAGTGCTCTACACATATTATACTTCTTATATTTTGCCCAGTCACCTGTTTCTTGTCCCTCCTGAATACTGCTCTCCTTTAGGTAACTGGGAATCGTAACCCCTTGCTCCTCAAAGTGATTTTTGTTTTCTCACTTCCATTTCTTGTTTAGCAATACCTATGTGAGCTTCTCCTCCTCATTTACATGTACACAAGGCTTTAATCTGAAAGTTCCTGGAAGGATGCGGAAGTGGCTAGTAACAAGGAAAAGAATCTGCACCACAGGATCAGTCAGCCCTCTGTAAATTACCATTGGTCCATGGACTAAAGTTTGCTAAAGTCTGTTACACAATTAGTACTGTTGAATCAGTTACAGAGTAGTTAGCACCGAAACTGGAAACTTTGTTTCCAGAAATTCTGTGGCCCACAAATAATTGGTGCATATCTAAGCACCACATGGTATGATTCTGTATAACTGTGAAAACTAACCTGAAAGAATCCAACATGTGGTGCAACTGGCAATAAGTGAGTTTGTTAATTTCTATTCATATACTAAACCAGGGATCGGCAACATACAGCACGTGTGCCATAAGTGGTACACAAGCTGATTTTCTGTGGCACGTGAGGTGGGAGCTCAGCTCAGCTCGTTTCCTGCAGAGAGGAGGAGCAGGACGGGATAGGCACGCGCACAGCATGGAGTAGGGGCCAGGGCAGCCCAGCAAGACCCTGCACTGAGCTCCATGTCCCTGGGACAGCCTCTGCCTGGCCTGGGCGGGCAGCTCCCAGGAGCTAAGTAGTTAATGACCCCCATTCCTGCACACTACAGGCTCTGCCTCCTATTCTGAGAGGGCGCGGGGCTAGGGCTGCCCTGCAGATCGGGGCTGGGTGGGACGCCAGAGCCCGGGCTGCACCATGCTGCTCCCCATGGGCTGTGCCCACTGGGTTCAAACCAGCCCTGGGCTCTGCCTGCCCCAAGCCCGGAGCCACAGCCTGCAGATGAGGGGTGAGCTGCAGCAAAGGGCTGGTCCAGGCAGGGAAATGAGTCTGCCCCCCTCCGGCCCCTCTTCACTCCAGCACTGCTCTCAGAGGGCTGCGAGTCCTAGCATGGCTGCCCTGCCAGTGAGCACGCTGGGGGCACAGGATGTGGAGGTAGGAGGGGGGTAAAGAAGCAAAGCACTAAAGGAGCCACCTACATGCTCTGTGTGGGGGAGGGAGGGAGGCTGTTGCAGTTGCACCGCAACAGGGTGCGCTCCTGCAAGGCTGTCCCAGCCGGAGGAAGGAAAATGGCAGTGCACCAAGCTATTTCTGGCTTGCTTCTTTCCCACAAGCCAGATCTGGCATGGCTTTTTGGGACATTTCATTACTTGATGGGGACACCAGAGCAGAGTATTTAAAATCAGGACTGTCCAGGACATATGGTCAATGTACATATAATGGAAACTATGGCAATCAGAAGTGCAAGCAATGTCAATGCAAGAAACAAAATATGGAATGATTTTTCTTCACTCAACTTCAAACTTTCCTGTAGGCCAGATACCACTGTACAAGAATTTATTCTAGGATAAGAGGGCAGCATAGTTTATGACAACAATCTACCTAAAAACTCATTAAAATCTTTTCTCTCAGAGTGACATGCATTATCAGCAAAGATTAATCTGATGAGTCTTTAGGTGAGCTCCATTTTTAAAAATTCAATAACAGAGGGCTTTGTTGTCACCTGACGAAAATCAATTAGAGTAGGTAAGGCCACAAGGAAAACTAACATCACTCATCACCAGCCCCCCGGCAGCTGAAATGATTTGTCTTCCAAGCTTGGGTGATCAGGAGCTGTAGTAATATCACAGGGAAATTAATTTAGTTTCTATATTCTAGACCCACTTTCCTTGTTCTGGAGGACCTATACACAAATTACTTATAATCAAGGTTGATGTGTTCTTTAATACCAAGGAGGATGTTTGAAGAATAATTTTTTAAAATAGACTTCAGCATTATAAAACTGTGTTTTGTGCAAAAAGGTTACATGTGCAGTATTACCCTTACCGTCCAGATTCTTTGTCCACTACAAGGCACTTAACTGAATGGCGAAGACAATAGATTCCACCAAATACAGCACACATCCTAGAAACATAAGAAAAAATAAAAGATTCATTGTGACTGATTGTGAACAACTTCTATACTAATAAGAAAGGGAAAGTGAATTAAGTACATCAATATAATAGAATTTAACATCCTAAATGTCAGAAGTCTGAATGCCAGAATTGGAGATCTCTCTGTGCCAAATGAACCATATTATATACTTTCAAAACTGTATTCAGAACAATGCAATTTAACTATTACTAATGCACTGAGCCATTAGTTCAGATATTAATGAGCACACACATGCTAGCACAAACAAACAGAAGTGGAGAATGCCAAGTACCTCTCACAATGTGGCCAAATGTCAAACTATGTTGCAAGTTCTGCTGAAAAAGCCTTATTTTGAATATAAACCATACCTTTTCTTGCTGTTGAACACTTAAAAAGGAGCATCTGTGAGGGGAGTAGGTCTAAAAATTGGCTCCTTACCAGACCAACTCCCACCTGCCACCCCCTGCTGCTGCTTCTGATATAGAGGCAGCAAAGCTGGGCAGCAGAATCTCCTGTCTGAAAGGGGCCTAAGCTCCCCACAAACAAATGCTGCTATGCAACCTCACCTGCTCCTTTCCCCCACTGCACTGCAGCCTCTGATACAGAGACAGCAGTCCAAGGGTGGGGGGAGGCAGGCAGCTCCTGAGATCCGGTGCTTGTGGGGAGCCGGCTTTTAAGATGGCTCCCCCGAGCACCAGATTCTACTTGCTCCCTGTGCTGCTGGCTCTGTGAGAGGCAGCAAGGGGACAGGAGGCTCCACAGGAACCAGCATGCATGGGGAGCCGGCTTGAGGTATGTGTACATGTAGTCATTTGGATAACCCAAGCTTATCAGTTAACCGTTTGAACTTCTATACGCTAACATTACTATCTATTTTTCTCTTTATACATCACCAAACAGTCCTATCTTTACCACAAAGATATCATCTGTAATACACTTTCTTATCGAGCAAAAACAAAACAAAAACAATTGTCATACCTCTAGTAGCTAATTAGGATTAATCTGAATTATATTAAATTTACCACACATACAAGTTAAAGGCCAATATGAAGGATACCTAGAAGTTTTTAAGTCTCAGCTTGACAAAGTCCTGGCTGGGATGATTTAGTTGGGAGTGGTCCTGCTTTGGGCGAGGGTCTGGACTCGATGCCCTCCTGAGGTCTCTTCCACCCCTATGATTCTATGATTCAATGTACAGTAGCTCATTATATTACAGTCGTTGTATTTGTCTTATTTTTATGACCGCTATCTGTGACTCATGTTATGGTAAATTTTTCTCTAAGTTTAATACATTCAATGTAAAACAAAAGATCTCTATGGGAAGGCACAACGATAACAACATAAAACAGTACACATTATGAGAGATACAGAAAATTATGCAAACTTTGTTTACTGGGGCAGCTACTTTGTTTTGAGGCAGCTCAAAATTTGGGAATATTCAGTTTCCCAAATTAGGAAAAATATTGCCTATTGTAGAAAATCTCACTGTGACCAATTTGAATAATGAAGGCAGAGAAATCCTGAGCAGCCTCAGTAACTATATGGCTGGCATAACTCCCTGTGCAGGAGAGAGCTGGTTCTAGCACAGTAAAGGTCTTAACCACATTTTAACATCCTTAGTGTAGATCAGACTAATCGTATAGTCGATACAATTTGTATCACCTATACGATTAGTTGATAGGACAACTCTGCAGAGCCACAGCGGGGGTAGCTTCAGGAGCTGGCTTGAGCTGGGACTGAGCAATCCCAGCTCATGCTGGCTCCAGGTGCCACCCATGCTGCAGCTCTGCATTTTAAATGTAGTAAGAGCCAATGGGCTCTTACTACATTTAAAATGCAGAAGCACAGCAATCAGCGTGAGCCGGGACTGCTCGGTCCTGGCTCATGCCGAGTCCAGCAACCCCTGTTCGACAACAGCCTCCCCGGGAGACACTGGTGGGAGGAACCTGCTTTTAAGCTGCTGCCTCTCAGTGAACCAATGGGGGAGAGGGCGGGTTCTACAGAAAGCATGAGGCTAGCGGGATTCAAGCAGTCCCCCTGACTCCATGTTCCCACTGCATGTTCCCACTATGGCACTTCAGCCTTTGAAATGGAGAAGAGCTCTGTGGGACTGCTTAAGTCCCCACTGGCCCTGTGCTCTCTGGGGCGCTTATGCTTTTGAAACATGGGGCTCTTATACATTTCAAATGCTGAAGCGCCACAGTGGGAACTGGTGTGAGCAGGGACTGCTTCAGTCCCCACTTGCCCCACCTCCCCAAAGAAGACAGTGCTCCCCACTTTGCTGCATCTCACGGATAGAGGCTCCTGCACATTGATGGCAAGGGACCACCAAAGACAAGAGAAGGAAGCAAATAAGACAAGAACGTTCACACCCTTCCTTTATAGAAAACATCACTAGCTTTAAGAGGATTGTTTCCCTATAGGAGAAGAAACAGAATTTCATTTCTTCAACATCTTTCTGTTCTCTTTTGCCCCCACTGAAGTCCAGCTTCAGCAACAAGACAATCAAGTTCACACTAGTCAAAGGCACTCTGCCAGACATCACACTTAGAACTACCAAAAAAATTAAACTACTAATAATCTAGCAGCACCTTAAAGACTAACAAAACATGTAGATGGTGATATGAGCTTTTGTGGGCACAACCCACTTCTTCACATGACTGCAGTATTAAAAGTCCAGATCCAAGGATAAATAAGGGAACGGGGGTGGGAGGTGGGGGAGAAAAATAGTGAATTAGATTGTTCAAGTTACAAGAAGCTGATAAGAACAATTTGCACCTCTATAGTACCCAGTGGATGGTTAAGTCATTAGGATGTGGAAGGTAGTGTGCGAGCCAGCCAATATCTTTATTCATTCCTCTCTGATTGGAAGCAAACTTGTAAATGAAGTTAAGTTCCAACCAAGCCACAGATGCCAGAGTCCAGACATGCCAGGCCACCCTCCTAATTTTTTGCTCAACTCCCATCATGCTGTTCGGGGCTCCAACTGGCACAGAAATTGTTCTGCCAAAGCACAAACTTAGAACAGACAAAATTATCAATTTCTGTTTATTTTTCCCCTCATAGGAGAGGGGTAACAGTTTGGAAAAATCTATTTATTCTTCCTTTCCTTTTAGCTACACTTTCGTTTTCAAGGGGAAAAAAAAACCTTTGTGTTTCTAATATTTTCCTTTTGCTTTTTTCTTTATCTTTACAAGTGAATGAGATGTTTGCATGATAATTTGTCCCTTGGCCCAGACCTACCCCGTTATGTAGACTTATGTATAAAATGGTCAAGAGAACTTATATATTACTTAAGTTATATCATTTTAAAACTGAAGTATTGCTAACATTTTCCTAGATAGTATCACCAGAGACCCTTACAAATAGTATGTCAGATTTGGATGCCCATTTTCAGAGGTCATCAGCCTCAGTCATTCACCACTGAAATGTCATCACTTCTAGGAGGGCACCTAAAGCAACTGTTTTAAAACATTATGCAGCAGCTTTATACAGGAAATAAGGAGAGAAACACTATCACCAATTACTCCTGTGGGTAATTTTAACTAGGAAGCATGATTACCCAATTTGGAATGCGTGTTAGACACTGAAATTAACATAACTGCTCTTATAGAATGTGCTGGGGAGGTTTAGGGACCCAATTAAAGTAATGTGCTCTATTTGGGTCTACAATTTGAAGAAACATCAATTAATATGGAACATACCTGCCTACAAATATAAAAGAGGGTTGACTTTGGGGGTGCGCTTACACCCCTGGAGGATTATGGACTGTGTCTGGACACTGGGATATCGGTTTGACAAGCTGCTTGCCTATATACCAATAGGAGCAGATGGAGGTGGCCTTCTGCAGATTTACAGTCCATAATCACAAAATACGTTTTTTCTTTGGGGGTTATTGACTACATACAATACCATTTAGTCACACAATATTTGTGGGTTATTTGCAGTATATCAGGTTATGAAGAGGCACAGCATTTATTTCAGTTAGGGAATGGAGACCAGAAATTGGATTTTTTAAAATAAATTATGCTGTTTGTATTGCATGGGCAATTTCAGACTTTGAAACACCATCGCACTGACATGGTAGAATTCATCTCTCTTAATCTCTCCTTTGATATCTGATAGCTATGTATTAAGTTTCCTTTAGTGGAAACAAAATTAAATGGAGGTGAGAGATAGGGAGTTGGCATACCCAACATCAGAGGTCAAGAGGTAGGGGTTCTTCTTATCCTCTCAATCTGACATCAGCCCAGCTTCACCAAGCCCAGGTATTACCACTGAATTTCTAGTGTCATGGTCCCTAACACATACAAGCATATAATTCCTGACCAAGAAATAGAAATGAAAATCTGGAAAAGCAGTCTTGAAGTTCAGAGGGTGGGTGGTTTCTATAAGCACATAGGGAAAAAAATTCTAAAAAATATAAAGCTAAAGTTGCAGAATACAGAAATCAAAAGGCAATATAATTAAGGATGTGTTTCCAACCTTAACTCTGCCATAAAAGTATACATTGGGTTGCAAAGTTCTGGCTGTACCCTGTGGGTCTCGCGCTACTGCCAAATAAAATTAATCTCAGAGACTTGCTGCGGTTCTATACATAAGAGGCGGTTACTCACCTTCTGTATCTGATGTTCTTCAAGATGAATGTCCCTGGGCGTGCTCCACATCCAGCACCTCTGGACAGAGTTTCTTCAGCAGGGGTTGTGACTGTGCTCTGCCTTGTCGGTTTACATAGAACATGCATGCCGTGTTGTCTGTGTAGACACAGACGTGTATCCTTTTTGCTTGAGGGAGCAGTTTTTGACATGCTAGGCGGACAGCTCGGAGTTCTAAAATATTTATATGGAGCGCACACTCCACAGAAGACCATAGGCCTTAAACTGTTCTTCCTTCTATGTGAGCGCCCCAGCCTGTGAGTGAGGCATCCGTGGTGATGACCACTGTGGGTTCTGAAGATTGGAAGGGTGTGACTACAGTTAGGTTGGATGCCT